TCTCTCTCTCTCTCTCTCTCTCTCTCTCTCTCTCTCTCTCTCTCTCTCTCTCTCTCTCTCTCTCCTCCATGGTTTTAAACTATACTTAGTAAGAAATTGAAGAAATGCCTTGATTTTACATTCAGTTCCCTCATTCTTTTTATATATGAGTAATATTGTATAGAAATACCCGTTTGCTTATCCACTTACTTGTCAATGACTATTTAGACTGTTTACAGTTTTTTTGGGGTGGATTGTTTGTTTGTTTTGAGATAGATCTTGTTGTGTAGCTCAGACTAGCCTCAAACTATCAAGATTACTGTTAATCCTTCTGCCTCAGCCTCCAGAGTGTTGAGATTACAAGCATGTGCCAGGCTTATTTCCAGTTGTTAGCTTTATGAAACAATGCTGGTTTGAACATGATTTAATGCTATTATGAACATATATTGTCAGATCTTTGTTTGGTCACATGTTTTCATTTCTATTGGATGAACACCCAGGAGTAGATGTGCTGAGTCACATGCTAATTCTATGTTTAACTTTCTGGGAAATCTTTGGCCTGTTTCTCATGGCTGTACCACCTTACCACCAGCAGTGTCCTAGTTGCTCTATACTCTCAATGACATTGAATTTTTATTTTCACAATGTTTTAAGTTTTAGTTTTTCTGCTTTTAACTTGCGTTTCACTGGTGGTTGATGAACATCTTTTCAAGTACTTATTTATCTTTCGTATCTGTTCTTTGTTGAAGTGTCTGTTAAAATATTTGGGCTAGTTTTTTTTTTTTTTTAAATTGGATTGTCTTCTTGTTATAGAGCCATAAATGTTCTTTGTATATTCTAAATACAATTTTAATTAGATATATGTTTTAAATATTTTCTCCCATCCTGTGCCTTGTATTTTTATATTCTTAACAGTGTCTTTTTCTTTTATATTTTATATATGTGATTTTAACTAAGTCAAAATCACAAAAATTTTTTCCTATGTTTTTGTCTAAAAGTTTTATGGATTCAACTCATATATTGAGGTTCATCATTTATTTTGAGTTACTTTTTATATAATGTTTGAATTAGTTTTTATGTGGTGTGAGAGCTACTCTTTTGTATATGAATATACAGTTGTTCCAGCACTTTTTAAAGACAACTATGTTCTATTACTTTGAGAATTAATGTACCATCTATGTGTGGACCCATTTCTGTACTCTATTCCATTAATCTATATGCCTATTATTATTCCAGTACTATATTATGAATTACATATATATTTTTGATTCATATATTAAAACATAATAATAGAGAAACCTAACATTAAGTTAGTTAGTTCTAATTGTTTTGGTCACCACTAAATCGCAAACATATTCCTCACCTCTCAGAGTTCTTTTCTCTTTTTTTCTTCTTTTCTCGTGTGTGTGTGTGTGTGTGTGTGTGTGTGTGTGTGTGTGTGTGTACTTGGTTTCTTGAGACAGGGTCTCACTATATAGCTCAGGCTGGCCTTGAACTCACTATGTAGTCCAGGTTGACACTGAACTCGTGGCAATCCTCCTGTCTCAGCCTCCTGAGTGCTGGGATTACGGGTGTGTGCCCTGCTCTTTATTATAATTTGATAATGATTATTATAATTATGCTTTTTAAAAAATAAAAACACTTAACATAAGTTCTACCTTCTGGGCAATTTTGAGTACAGAGTACAATATTATTGGCTATAGGCATTATACAGTATGGCAGCTTTCAAAACTTACTTTGCATAAGTGAAACTTTGTATTCTTTAACTATCACCTCTTTCTTTCCTCTTCTCTTGAGCCCCTCAGCCACCACTTTACTTTCTATGACTTTGTCTATTTTAGATCACACATATAAATGAGATCATATAGTTGTTGTTCTGTGTCTGGATTATTTCACTTCATGTCGAGCCCATGAGGTCCATTCAGTTTTCACAAATGTAAACATTTCCATTTTCCAAACACTGAATAATATTTCATTATATGTGTGTGTGTGTGTGTGTGTGTGTGTGTGTATAATTTCATTATTCATTCATCTGTAAACAGACATTTAGACTGTTTCCACCTTTTGGCCTTTATGAATAACACTGCACTTAACATAGGAATACAGACATCTCTTCAACATACTGATTTCATTTCCTTTGGATATACAATATACCAAGCTGTGGGATTGCTGGATCATATTTTTAATTTTGTGAGGAACCTCCATACCCTTTTCCTTAATGTCTATACCAGTTTACATTCCTACCAAAAATATCTGCAAATCTCCTTTCTGTCACACTTTGCCAACACTTGTCTTTTAATTCTTGATAACAGCTACCCTAATAGGTGTGAATTGATACCTCATTGTGATTTGATTTGGATTCTACTGATGATTACCTACGATGAGCACCTCTCCATATACCTGCTGGCTATTTATATGTCTACTTTGGAAAAATGTATGCGTGACTACCTTGCCCATTTTTACAGGTTATTGTTCTTATTGTTACTTTGATGTTGAGTTGTACGTATGTATGCCTTATTTATTTTGGATATCAGCCTCTTATCAGATATATGTTTTACAAATACTTTCTCCTGTTCTGTGGATTGCCTTTTCATTTTGTTGATTGTTTCACTTGCTGTGCAGAAGTTTTTTATTTGATATGGTCTTATTTGCTTATTTTTATTTTGGTTTCCTGTACTTTTTGGCGACATATTTTAAAAAATCCTTAACATGAGTAATGTCATGGACCTTTCCCCTATGTTTTCTTCACACCTTTCAGGCCCTTTTATTTGTTAGAATATTGGCCTTTTGACCTGCATAATTTCCCACAACCTGAATTTGGCTGATAGCATTCTTACAGTGGAATTAGCATGTTTCTTCCTTTCCTCTGTTTTCCATAAACTTTTGAATAGATTCAGAGGTTTGATTCGATCCAGGTCTAGTTCTTTGTTTTGTTTTGGCAAGAATGCTCACATGTGCAGGTGCATGTTCTTATTACCCCTTATCAGGAAGAACATAACATCTCATGAACCACTTTTAGTGATGCTAAGATTTATCATGCAGGTTTTATCAGTTTGATCCATCTAGGGTGGCCCATTAACCATTCACCTAATAATTTTAGCAGCTATTCATGGCCACTACCTAGATCTATCATTTCATTAGGGACTTAAAAAATGGTGATTTTTCTAATTTTGTCATTTCTTTTGCATTTATTAATTGTAGTTTGTCTATTCCAGTCTATACTGATAAAGATCATTCACTTAATAAAAGTTTAGTCGTATTCGGAATCTTCTTCTAGGCCCATCTGTGCAATTGTAAAATTTGGTTTTAGCCAAGACCCTTGCTAAGTCAGCTTAGCCATAACTCCCCATCCTTGATAGCTGGCCATGTTTGATATCTGACTATGCTCCCCATCCTATACCATTCCCCATGTGATGAATGATCAACCTTGTCTGTCTGCAGCAAGACTTCTGTAAGGCCATTTTATCCAGAATTCCCCTTACTGGTGATGTTTCATCTTAGTAATTTTCCATCCACTCACCCCCATTCTACTCCTTGGGTATAAATTTCCACTTGTGCAGGCGGTATTCAGATTGTATCCAATCTCTCTCTCCCACCACAAGACACCCATTGCAGTGGTCTATGCAACAATTGCAATGTTCCTGAGTAAAACATTCCTTACTGTACTCTAACAAATATTTTTCAATTTTTTTTTACAGAAAGTGATTAATTAGGGAGAAAGAGTACAGTCATTTCTTTGAAGAGTGAGTGGCCTAGCATCCCAAGTAAAGTAGTGTTGAAAGAGCCATTGTAAAGGGTTGGGCTGCTTTCCAAAAGGCAGTCCAAGTTCTCTTTGGATCGTGGGTGCTGACTGAACTGTGGAAACAAGCTCGATCTGCGCTGCTGCTGCTGCATATTATGAAAGTGTGGTGAAAGACTTCTGCAACTTGAGCTATGTCCTTTGGACACAGGGAGGTACACGGAGCGATGCCTGGTCCTTGCCTCTTCACTTGTCGTCCTTACTTCCATACTGATTCTGGAGGAACCAGAGAAGAATAATAAAAGGGAAAGAAGAAAAACAGCAACAACAAGGAAAAGTACTAAAGACATAGACCACTTCCTCTACTTTTTGTTTTTCAAAGGGTTCTGAGGCCAAGTCTGTCCTGGTTTGAGGGAAAAGGAATAAACTTTGAATTGAATGAGAAACACAAATTTGCTAATAAATTAAATGAGGTCTTTCAATATCTGAAATGATCATAGATCTAAAAGTGACACAAAAAGTTATAAAATCTTTTATGTTAATTATACACTTTGGTTTGTGACAATTCATTGAACTATATACATAGGATATGGACACTTTTCTGTATTATATTTCAATAAAAATTTATTTTTTAATTTTTTTAAAATTTATTTTAAAAATAAAAGAAGGAGAACATATTAACAAACAGACATCCATTTACACAATGGCATAAGAACAATACAAGCAATACTGAATTACAGACAAAGTGGTAGGAAATTAACAATGGGTGTTGATTTACATATTGGTATCTTCAAAGTGGTTTCTCAGGATCAATAAAAATTTGTACCCATCAACCGAGGAATGGGTAAAAAAGATGTGGGTTTTTTTATACAATGATGTACTATTCAACCATAAAGAAGGACAAACTTGAGACATTTCTAAGTAAATGAATGCACCTTGAGACCATATTTTAAAGTTTTTTTTGTTGGTGCTGGGACTCGAACTCAGGACCTTGTACTTGCCAGGCAGGCACTGTGCCCCTGAGCTATATCCCCAGCCCAAGAGACCATGTTTTTAAGTGAAATAAATCAGTCACACATGCATAAATTTCTCATTGTTTCCCTGGTGTGAGAAACTGGAAGTGTTAAATAAGGACCTTTAAATAAGGACCAAAGTATATAATAGGTATTGTGAAATAGGAAGAAATGGTTCAAAAGAAAGGGGAACAAGGGAGGGGGGATGGGGAAAGGAAGGAAGGGAGAAGGAAAAACAATGAAGGATAAAGTGGAAAAAGCTTTGTAAGTAAGGAGGGGAAGAGAGGTTGAAGGGAGAGGAGGGGATTGGGGAAGAAAAGAGGAATCAAGATATACCATATATAGGCACAAATTCCCCATGATGAATATGATCATTATGTATACCTAAATTGTACCAATAAACTTAAAAAAATAAACTAAAAAGCTACAGATTTTGACATAATTTAGAGGTGCAGATGGGAGATTCCACATAGCAGGTTGGAGGGTGGTGGAGAATTAAAGTGATTTTAGGATGGCTTGTTATACCAGGTAGTTTGATTGTGACCTGATCCTCCATCATAGCCATAGTCTGATGTAGCCAGGGAAACCCCAGCTCTCCATGCCTTGCTGGGAAGTTTTTTCATGAGATTGATGGAAACAGTTTCAACCCAGGGAAGAATATTTTAGCAAATTCACTGTAGTTGCTACATCAATAAATTAAAGGAGACCAGTGGAGTTAGGGGTCTGTTGAGAAGCTGTTGTAGAAATTCGGGTTGTAATACAGCTCTGCATGGAGAGGAGATTAAGAGACACATACTTGCCTTGAATCCAGACCTCCCTTTGGAGGATCAGACCCCTGAGCATACCTGCCTGCTATATATGAAATTTAGATATTAAAAGTCACCTCAAACTCAGCATATTCAACTTGAATTCCTAATCCTTCTGAAGCCTGATCCTATTTCAGTGTCCCTAATTTCTCTCAATCACATCCATCACATATCTAGTTATGTAGAAGTCACCCACACCTCTTTCCCTTTGCTGATCTTATTTTGTAAATGTTGCTTAAATCCTTCACTTTCTCTATATCTTGAATCACTTTTATCCTATCTAAGCTGTCTAGTCAATTGCAATTTATGTTGCAATAGAAAAATAAACAGTGAACAGAAAAAAGTAAAGATGAAAGGTGAGATAAAAAGGATCTACGTCTCCTCAAATGCTTCAGTTCCTAGACTGAGTCTGTCTCTGAGCCACAGCCTTATCTTTGCCTGTGGGTTTTCTGCACAATCACTGGTTCCTTAAAATAAGAATCTCTTGCCATGGGAAGTGTGCTAGTCTGTATATATGAGACAGCTAGCACATATGGTGCTCACTTACGTGAGATTCAAAATACTCCTAACTCATGACTCTGAAAACACCTTAAATTCCTTTACATGCCTCTAAATGTTGTCTGGCGTTAGTCATGAAATTGTTCTTTTTTTTCATTCTTGAAAAAAAGGTAGAAGTTACATTAATATTAACCAAATTGTATGAAGAAGTTTGTCTTAGTTACCTTTCTCACTGCTGAGGCAAAGTATTCAGCACCCAAAGTTAAAGGAGGAAAAGTTTACTTTGGCTCAGAGTTTATAGAAGTTTCAGCCCATAGTTGGCTGGCTCCAAGGAAGCATGGCATGGCAGAGGGGCACTTCAGGGAAGAAACAGTTCATGGCAGGCAGAAGGCAACAAAGCAGCAAAATAGCAAGGAAGTAGAAGCAACAGCAGCAGACCTCCTTCTGTCCCTGACATTCTATCCAGGCTGCAAGGACCTAGGGCAGGTGGTACTCATATCCCAGGTGGGGCTTCTCATCCACAATCAGAACCATCCCAAACCAATCAGTGCACTAATTTAGTAACCACACACCCTTAATCCCAGCATCACATACTCTAGATCCAGCCACCTCTGAAAAAGCCACACCTTGACTGTGTGAGGCTTTGGAGGGACATCTAGACGCAAGTCACAACAAAGTTCTGTCTCCCTGCAAATGATAAAGCTTGTGACAAAGGAGAATTCTTACCAGAACTCTAACTATAAACCATGTTCAACCGTGCTTGCTTGCACTTTAGTGTTGATGTCAAAGGAGACGAGGGAGAGCCCATCAGTGTCTGAAATGACAGAATTACGGATAGCTGTTCACACATGGAGTCTCATGGGCCATCACACTACCCTTCGTGTCCCTTTGGAAGATTTACATGCTTGTTCCTCCAGAGCCCATAGACAGTCTTTAAGGAAGATTTTAAAAAGTACTGAAGGGCTGGGGATTTAGCTCAGTGGCATAGCGCCTGCATGGCAAGCGCAAGGTCATGAGTTTGATTCCTGGTACCGAAAACAAAACAAAAAATACTGAAAGGACTGGAGGGAAAAAATTTACTTCAACAACCAAGGGTTCAACTTGTAGGAATATGTTTTGAATATCTCATAGTTCTGATTTGACTTGATAATGAAGGGGAGAAAGTCATGAGAAAGACCTTTGACTTTTATCTGTTTGTCCTGAAACTTAGGCCCAAATTAGGAAAAAGGGAAGAAAAGTTGAGACTCACTCTGTTGGGGGCTGTTGAAGCACAGGGAGGGGTGCAGAGTCTCCCTGTTTATCCCTGTCCTCCTTTCCTACCTTTGTGTGATGGGAGACAGTGGCATTCTCTTCACTTGGAGTTCACAGTTGCTTGGAGGTGAAGTTGGGGAAAAGCCCCATAACTTTTTAGTTTTACTCCAGGCTATGTCTTAGCATTTTGGTACCCTCCAGAAGATGTTGGGGGCTTAAGACTATGTTACAGGGTGGCTTTAAAATACATCCACAAATTATCCGACACATTAAAAGGTAGAATTTATGTCCTCCCTTGCCCTGAACCTGGGTAGATTTGTAACTCACATTAGAATGCGCCCGAAATAAAGTGTGAATTCTGAGACTAAGTTAGAGAAGGTGCTGAGCCGAGGTCACAGGGAGATATTTAAGTGCTACTACCGGTAGCTCTAATAAGGGTCTCAGCAGACAGCCAGCATCAGATACAAAACACAGGCAAGAAGTTGTCTCCACATGAATTTAGCCTCTTGCTGAATCCTCTGGCCTTCCCAGGCAAGCTCCTAGGTGTCCTGGGGAGCAGAGACCAGCCTTTTCTGCCATGAACTCTTTCAATTTGACCCTCAGAATGAAATTGATTAGTTAAAGCTTGTAAGTTTTGAGTTGACTCCTTATAAAGCAGTAGTAGTAAGAACATACTCCCAAACTGAACCTCCTCTGCCTACTTCATGCAGCTCAAATCCTGGGGGTAGAAGGAAGATTATTTGAGAACTTTGCTCTCTATAGATAGGCTGGCTCCCAGGAAGCAAAACTCAGAGGAGCTGAGTCAAGCATTCCCGTTTTACTCTTCCCATATTTACTGATGAGACCTATCACCCCCAAGACCTGAAACCCAGCACGTATAACTCCTGCTTCTCCTCAAAAGACATCAGGAGAACAGACAAGTGTTACCCCTGTCAAGAGTATATTTTAAATTTTTAAAATCTTTTTTAAAAGAAAATAAAAATTAGGAAAAACATTAAAAACGATACAAAATTTCAAAACAAGGTGATAGGAAATCAACAGTAGTTGTTATCGCATATTGTTATATTGTTACCTTCAAAGAAGTTGTTCAGATTACAAGATAGAAGCATGCAAAATTGGTAAAAAGAAAAAAAGACTAAGCATTAACTGTTCCTTTCAATAAACCAACAGAAGTTAGTAGTACAATTATCTTAGCTATCTTGTGTGTGTGTATATATATATATTTTTTTTCCCGCCTTCTTTCTTTTCTCTTTCCCTAGCAGTTTCTTTCCCTTTCACAATATCTATTGTACCTTTTGAATTTTATTTACTCTTTCAGTTTCTTACACTAGGGAGACAATACAATGTTTGCATGTTATTTTGAATTTTTGCTATGTCCTCCTCCCCCTAAAATTACTTTATCCTTTTTTTCTTGCTTTGTTCTGTGTAATTTTGTTTTGTTCTCTCTTAGAGACTCTTGTCAAAAGTTTTGAGCTCCATGACTAACTCTTCACACGAGTAAGAGGCATTAAAATTCTTTTTGAGTTGTTTGATTTTGTTGTTTGTTCTCTCTTAGAGATTCTTGTCAAAAGTCTTGAGCTCCATGACTAACTCTTCATATAGGTGTGAGGCATTAAAATGCTGACTAGGAGCTCTGAGTATTTGGGCAGGGTATGGGGACATCCGGGCTTCACACAGGGAAACTGGGAGAAAGTGCGCCCTGCAGTGGGTGTGCTACCCCCAGTTGTCAGAGCAAGGAGGCCTTTTCTCGGTAGTGGTTTATTTCTGCCTGAAAGAATTGCCCGTTCCCTGCTTGGGTAGAAAGAGCTGCTTGAAAATGCAAATCTGGAAACAGGTTGGGGAAGAACTTAATCTCCTTGTTTTCAGGCTTATACTTTGCCCTATTTCTTCTGCTGTATCTGGTCTCCCCGCATCTGGAACATCTCATTCCTCCAAAGAATAATCTCCCATCTCTTGTTCTGGGAAGGGTGCTAGCCTGCAGATATGGGATAGGAGGAGCTCTCTGTAACACTTTCAAAGCATTTTTTATCTTAGCTTCGTGTTTCACCTTTTGCAGAACCTTGA